TCCTAAAGCCCTTAGATAACCCTAAACCCTAAACCCCTAAACCCTAAACCCTAAACCCTAAACCCCTAAACCCTAAACCCTAAACCCTAAACCCCTAAACCCTAAACCCTAAACCCTAAACCCCTTAGAAGCCACCCGAAGGCTCAGCCCGAGACCCAGGTCACCACGGAGCCGTCCCCTCGCAGCGCCGCGAAGGCCAGCGCAGTGGCCTGGACTTCTTGAACGTCCCAGAGCTGGTCCTGCGGTTAGGGTTTAGGGTTTAGGTATGAGGGATTCTCATTCTTCCTAGGAGTGCTATTCCTGTTCTTCTTATTGTTATTCTTCTAATTCTTATTGGAAGTAGTATTCTTATTGAACTTTTCTGATGTTACTACTACTGATTACAATATTTACTATTATGAATATTGTGTTTTGAAGGATTTGTGTGGCTTGGTGTGTAGGGCTTAGGGTTTAGGCTTCAGCGCTAAAAATCGGAACCAACAGGATTTGTGAGTTTGGTCAGGGCTAACACGTTATGTTGTTTTGAGTGGCTCTTTACCTGGTTGTAGAGCAGGCCTTCGCCAGAAGCCAGGCATCTTTAAGCAACCTATAAGCCTCAATACGGTTTTGGGTTTGGGGTTTCAGGTGTTGCAATGTCTTATACGGGTGTCCATCGGGTGTTCTAGATCCTGGTAAAACAGATGGTGTGAGAGTTTGAGGTTCAGGGCTTTAGGCTTTGGATTTCCAAGTTCCGGAACATAGTACCGAGGTTTGCCTGGGACTCTAGTTACCTGCAGCTTTATGGGTTCTAGCTACTAATCAAGAGGTAATCTGCTACACTGTAGGTGAAGAGAGTGACAGGTGTGGCTTCACAAAGATTATTATGATTGTCAAATCGATTCTCAGCTGGTGAGATTTTACCTAGAAGACTTACAAGGTGTAACTACGATGTTGGCAATCTCGATTGCGTCAACAAGGGGTTCATAAGGCTCTTTTGGCAAGCTTCTTCGACGAAATAAATCAACTTAGTAACCCTTAGAACTCGCATACTCGTCCCCGTCGCCCATTTTACTCAGCCTACTTACCAAGTCAACAGCGCCTAAAGCCCGTACAAGACCCCATGAAACCCTAAACCCTAAACCCAAACCAGCTTAAGCACCCGCAAGGCATCGTACGCTCTAGGGGCCTTGACAATTAGGGTTTAGGGTTTAGGATTTAGGGTTTATGGTAATAATTAGAACAGGTTTGGGTAATATATTGTTCCGATTTTTTGTAAGCAGCCCCCGGGCTACACAATTTAAATGAGGAGCCCCCAAACTATACAAGTATGAGGAACCTCCAAGCTAGACAATCATAATTAAGGAACCCCCAAACTATGCATTTACAACAAGGAACCCCCTAAACCCTGAACCCTGAACCCTAGAGGGCACCGTAGACCATAGACCCTAAACCCCAAACCCCAACTAGCATTAAACCCCAAACCCTAAACCCTAAAACCCTAAAGCCTAAACCCTAAACCCTAAATCCCTAAACCCCTAAACCCTAAACCCTGGAACTCTCCTGCACCGGGTCGGAGTTCCCCCCAAAGTCCGGGTGGCCCCAGGTGACCTTTGCAAAAGGCGACTGGGGTCTAGGTTGAGGGTTTAGGGTTTAGGGTTTAGGGTTTAGGGTTTAGGGTTTAGGGTTGAGGGTTCAGGTTTTTGGATTTAGGGTTTTGGGTTTTGGGTGTAGGGCCTGGGGAGTAAGCTTGGGTTTTGATGTGCCCGAACCCAGACCCCCGGGAGGATCTAGAAAGCCCTAAGTTGGGACTCTAAACTACTAACTAAAGGCTCCAAGTTGGGACTCTAAACTACTAACTAAAGGCTAGTGTACAGTAAGCTCCCTAAGGGATCTACTTTCTGGATCCTTCCGGGGGTCTGGGAAGCCAACCCGTCGCGTTCCAGCATGCGAAAGCGGGAAGCTAGCGCTCGCTAGACAAAAGTCATGCTAAGCTCAGGGTACACCAGATGTAGAGGGGTAATGATCAGAATAGGGTTTTGGGATATATGTCACTATACTTGTAATAAGGAGCCCGCAAAATAGTATAGGTAAATTTTAAGGCTTAAGGCCCCTGTAATCCCATGAATTCGGAACCCTAGACCCTAAAACGTGGATCCTATAAAGCCTAGGCCCTAAATCCTAAACCCTAAACCCCTAAATCCTAAACCTTAAACCCCTAAACCCTCAACCTAGGCCCTAAATCCTGCGCTCGAGACGCCACGGACCCGTCGCCGCGCAGAGCAGCGAAGGCCATGGCCGCTCCCTGGATCTGATGGACGTCCTGGAGCTGGTCCTGCAAGGGCTTTTAATTCAAGGTTTACGGTTTAGGGTCCCTAAACCCTAAA